TGATTTGTGCAGATTCTGAATTGGACAGTGCATCTGCACTCGATCCCCCTGCCACACAAGTTGGTGCTGGCACTAGTTATGGCGACGAAGGTAATCAAACATTTTACATTTTAACAGACAAGTGTACCTCTTGCTTTATTGATTTTAATGTCATTTTTATGTTTTATGATGGCTTTTTGGCCTCAGAAAACATTTTTAAGATAAGCAAAAAAGTCCGAAAATGTACTTTTTTGAGTTTTTTTGCTATCTTTGTGGGCCTGTAGCGCCCTAAACGAGGGCCGGTACCACAACTTTGGGGCTCGGAATATTAAAGTCCTTGTCCAGGGCTACCATTTGCACCACAGAAACAGTCATGTTTGATTGGCGTCGAGTTTTGCAATCAGGTCAAAAATAGGCGATTTTTAGGTGTTTTTTCGCCAAAAACATGGGTTTGGAGGTGACCTAGGACCCCCATACCGGCAAATCCGGATTCCTTGTCCAAAATTACGTCAAGAAACTTTACCGCACCCATTTATCACTATTATTGCCCGATCTGTGACCATTTTCGCTTTTTAGTAAAATAAAACTTTTAGTAATTTTAAAAACTTTAGGAGGCTGCCATTTCTAAACTACTGGAGCTACAGCGGGAAATTTCGCACAGAACCTTCCCTTACTAGGGACAACATTTGGGCAAAATATGGGCGACATCGGGATGGTCATGCAAAAGGTGGCTAATCACTCCTGGAATGACCCATGAAAGCCCTTGGCACATGGTTCACCACCGTCCCTTGTTTGAGAACTGGTAGCGAGGGGGAAACAACTGATCGCTTGCGTTTTCCCTTGAAATGACGCAAAAAATATCGCAGACAACATAATAAACTACTTAGTGCCTCAGAGCAATAGAAGCTCGTTCTAATAACAAGCATTTTGGGCCCACATTAGCTTACAAAAAAATTCGTATTTACGCACTTCCTTTTTGTAACGTCTTAAGTGATACATGCATTTTGCCTATCTTTTAAACCTCAATCCTTGCTGAAGCCTATCAGTAGCCACACTCAAAGAGTTTAGGCCTATAATCAATGCCATTGAATGTAACGTCTGCCTGAGATTTTGCGGGGTCATTAGGTATGTTCTTGGCTCGTCACACACCAAAATTCAGCTTTCTATCTCAATCCATTCGTCTTATTAGCCAAAAACACTAAGAAAGCTGTAGAAAAAAGTCAGCTTTGTAAGCTTTATCGGCATTTTGTCAAGTTTTAATGTCGTTTTTCTATGTTTTTGAGGCTGCTGATGGCAATAGGACCCATTGGAACCCCCCGACCCCCAAAGTTAAGACCCATTAGTGTAGATTTTCATGACCAAATGCTGATTTTTGAGGGATCACGCTCATTTATGGTCTGTCCAGCAAAGCAAGGCCATGGTAGGTGTATACGCCAGGCGTGTACTGTCGAACTGGCGCAGCATCGCGAAGCCTGTTACGACACGACACGGTCTGGCGTACACCAACCTTATTACAAAGGTAGCACCTCCCGTTCGCGATGACCCACCTCGGAGGCAAGGGAGGTGCGTCACGTCAGTGTGCTGGCACCCTTTGATGGCCCCCGGGGGGCGCAGCCATGAAACCGGTTCGGCGCAAACACTGCATTCCGCTTCGGCGGGGACTTCCGCAGGGCGCACCTGCTCTTCTTCCTCATCATCATCGGAACTGCTGATGACGCGGATCTGTTGAAACGTAAAAGCAACAAATTCCATAAATCGAGAGGCTGCTTGATAACAAGGCATTCCCCCACCCTCTTCCACCAGAGAGATGCCAATTAAATTTAAATACAAATGAAAACCGCCTCTAAAATTAAATCATTCTTACCGTTTCGGCGTCACTGTCACTGTCGAGAGCTTCTGCGGCCGCCGCCGCCGCCGCCAGAACGG